ACGAGGTGTTATGCCTAGGCACACCATGTTTTATTTTTTTATAATAATAAGAATAACATATTCCCTCGGGTTTTAAGAAAACCGACGGGAAAAATAAATCAGGACACACTTTGAATCCCAAATTTTACAGTTTATGTTTTTATTTGTTTATAAGTGTAAACTAAATAAATTAACCCTTCAGTTTTAAATAAAACCGAGGGATCAAATAATCATATTTCACTATAAAGTTAAACTGATTTGACCCTAATCCTTACTTTTATGAAGCCGCCTCAAACTCACATGCATCATTCTTTGGGATGAATTGTGAAATAGAAAATATCTTTAATGTTCTTGTAGAACAAAACATTTTTTTATGCCCTTGCAATTTATCTCACATAATGGTGTTGATGTTATTGTTGTTATTGTTGTATTTTTGCTCATTTGATAGATTGCAAAAGTAGAAAATCAATCTCGCTTCAAGTTAAGCAAAGAAGGAAGCTCAATTTTTGAAAAGTTAAACATAGAAGGTAGATTAACTGATTGGAAGATGGATATCAACGAAGATATTCATTCACAAGAATAAATATTTGTTGCAAAATTTTTATTTTAATATTTTGTGTAAACAATGTAATTACAAAAAAATTATAGTTTTTCACCTTGATGTTTTGTAATAATCGAGTTGATAGTTAAAATCAGGAGATTATGTACCTCAATTTTCTTATAAAGCCGAGGGGTAAAATAATCAGATTTTACTATAAATACCATTGTTAAACAAATTTTACCCTAATACTAACTTATATGTAGCCGCTCCAATAGAGAAAATATTTACCACTGTCCATTGCCATGAAATTTTTTGATATAGAAACGCTTTAGAACAGATCTCTAGGATGAATTGCAAGTATAGAAAATAAAAATTTTCATGGTGGAAACAAATAACTTATCAGAATTTAGATAAGTTATGGAGTGTTTTTTGGATATGCAACATAAAGGTATGCAACAAAATTTGGATTACACCAAATATTTTTTGTAAACAATTTATTTCTAAAGTTTGGAACGTACTCCTTTAAAAGATGGATGCATTTAATCCATATAACATTGTTGTTCTCCAAGAATATGGATTTACTGCAATATTGTGCTTTAATATTCTGTGTAAATAATGTAACTTAAAAAAAAATCTGCACCATGATTTTTCTATAAACCGAGGGAATAATTTAGCGTTAAAATTGAGGATATTTATCATCTTCCTTAATCAAATATTTGTCGTCCATTTCATGACTATCAATGATCAAGACACTATTATTAGTGATCCGCGTGAAACATAAATAACTTCCATTATAAAAGCATTCTAAATATTTAAAATTGATAATGAAACATCATGAAGTACTTGAAACTATCCTCCACTTTATGGTTTGCAAGAGTCTTTCCCATGAAGAATTCTCTATGATGGATTGCAAAAGTAGAAAATTATTTAGGTTTAAGGTTTGTGTTCTTAAATATTTATTGGAGCAGAAATTCATTTATTTATATAACTCTTTTTTTTTTTTGTTTATATCAGAAACCAATGCAAGGAAAAGCAATTAAAAATATCTTGGCACCATACATTTGATATTTCCCAGAATATCAAGAAATTGAAGATACAACATGTGATCTTCTTGAATAATTAATTTTTATTTTATTATTCTATGTAAACAATGTAATAATATGGGTAAATATTATAGTTTGTAAACAAATTATTTTATTAATTTTCTGTGCATACAACAGAACGAGTTTTAATTAAAAAAATTAGAATAATTTATCCCTCAATTTTATTGATAAACGGAGATATAAGAGGCGCTACTAGTGTAAATAATAAAAATGATGATGGTGAGGTTCAAACTCATGAGCAAATAAATTACCCCTTGGTGATTTAAAAATCGAGGTGTTAAGTCCTTACTTTTTATGATGTCTTTCGTTACCTCGCTTTTATAACTGAGGTAAAACGCATTTCACGTCTGAGGTTAAAAACACTTTTTGTAGTAGTGTATGGAAAGCAAAAACAATCCCGTATCGACAATCGTCTATCCTAAACCATTATCGAAAAGATCAAATATGCATTAAATCGTATAGAACGTGTTTGATTGATGAGAAAATTAATAAATATTTTTCCAAATACAATGTTTGAATAAAACCTCACAATGATAATCGATTTTCAATGAAATATCAAATAAAACATGACGTAAGCAATTTGTCGAACACTTGGTGTGTAATCAATTTTAATCGTTTTGTTTTTGATTTTATTGATATGAAAAACCAACTGCACTCTTATAGATTGCAATCAACTAAGCAAAATAATTTGAAATATTAGACAAAGAAATCATCTCAATGTATCGATTGCATAATCAATTATTTCTCATTTGCAAGCAAAAATAAAAGAGAGAGAGAGAGAGAGAGAGAGAGAGAGAGAGAGAGAGAGAGAGACAGAGAGAGAGAGAGAGAGAGAGAGAGAGAGAGAGAGAGAGTCGACCCATGCTACCTGTGAGTCTACTCCAAATGGACAAAAAAATTTTGGAAGAAAAATGCTTCAGTAGGAGTCGACCAACAACTCGAGGGAATTGGTCCATTCGTATTTTGTGTTGACTCCACAACCCTTAGTATCGACTCAACTTAGGCAGGGAATTTTGTCTCAAAATGATTTCAGTGGGAGTCGATCCACAACTCGAGAGAGTATACCCATTAGTTTAGTGTGTCCACTCCAATTCATGAAAGTTCATATTTTTGACTTGTTCTATAAGTGTCCTAATATAAAAATGCAACCTAGACATAGAAATATAAGGTTCAATTTACAAATACTACATATTTCCTAGTTTTGACATCATTTAAAATATTAAAGATAGGATATTTCACTCATAATAAATTCAATTTCTAGTGCATTTTGAAATGAGAAGAAACCCTCTATTTATATGAGAACAAGTGGCTTAAAAAGGAAAAAGATTTTTGAGATTTTTAATTATCTAATCAATTAAGTTCGAGGGTTTTTCAATTAGATAAGTTAAATATGGAAAGTTTTCAAATCTGTCGTAACTAATTAAATAGATTCCTGTTAAATGATTGGCAGGTGTTACAAAAGATTTAATAGATTAACCCTAATATGTTAACCAATTGTGTAGTGTAAAAATCACTCCTAATAGTTTAAACAAGTTAGTAATCAATTAAGTATGTGCATACAAACATTTCCGGGTGTTTTATTAAAAAGAGAAATACTTCAAAATATTTGTAGGTATGTGTGTGAGCTACCATAGTATCTCGAGAGTTACTCTTATACCTTTACATTTAACTAATTACTCAGACATATGACCAAACAAGCTTTCATATTTTCTCTTTTTTACAACCTTGAAGTTCTATGATCCCTTGCTTGATTCATCGTTTATTTAGAAATTCATATGGGATTTGGCTCTTCTACAAATGATGTTTGATTTAGCTTCTTTTACAGAAACCATAATAAGTGTTTGCTTGACTAGAGATCATCTAGTACTCCATTGAATATCTTTTGACATTAAATGTTGTCATTATTGCATCTAGCTTGACATCTTAATCTCACTAAAACATATTTGGTTTAACAACTTAATCATTTATTCCTAAAGATAAATGAGAATTCACATAATTTCTTTTAACATATGGTGTTGTCATTATCAAAATAATTATGTACATTTGAGTGTTACATATAGGTGTACATGTAATCACATGATAGATATTGTTATATTTGTCTCTTAGGTTGGTGAAAAAAGAAAAAGACATAGGTAAAATATTTTAGTGGTCAAAATTTTTCTCTATCTATGGCATGAAGAACAACACTTACTAAAGTTGTTATTGAAGGCTTGCCCACCTACCCTATGACGTGAAGTAGGTTCCTAAGACTTATATCAAGAATATTTAGAAATGCCAAAGGAAGTTTATATAGGTTGATACAAGTTTATATAGGGTGATACTGAAGGAACAAATCATATTCATACTATTGTTTAGAGCAAGATAATCAATCATAAACATGTTGGAGGCCTTGGTATGAAGAATTTGATAGTTATGAACAAATCGTCTTTGGTTAAAATAGGATGGAAAATCATCAAAGAGGAAAAATATTCGGGGTGTCAAGTACTCAGAGGCAAATATAACAAACACTACGCCAAATAAGCTATTTAATAGCGCTTTTTTTTTGTTTTTGATAGCGCTTAAAAGTGCTATTAACCGCGCCACTATTGTAAATATTTCTTATTTAATAGCACTTTAAAAGCGCTATTAAAGTACCAATTTATAATAGCGTTTTAATTAAAGTGCTATCAAAGTCAGTATTTTGCATGTTTTTTGTTTGTTTTTTTATAGCACTCTAAACAAAAAGCGCTAATATATAACATATGTTTGATAGCGCTTTCAAATAAAGTGCTAATAAATGGTACATATTTGGTACAATATTTTCAACCGTGCCGCTAATTGCAAGATTTCCAACCACAGTGATTTCCGCAACAACTTTCTTACCAATATCAATGTAATGAATGTAGCATTTTAATCAAGTCTTAATAAATGAAGCTGCTTATTCAACCTCAAAACCTTTTATACTTAACTAACAGAAAAATCTGGGTTTCCCCTATTAAATAATACTACACTTGTTGAATGAGGCGTGGTAAAACAACAATAAAGCCTATTTTATATATGAGATACTATTCATCCCTATTTACATGATATGATATGATATATCTATATAATGAATACAAAGTTTAGATATGGTCATGAAATAAAATCATATTTTGTATATAAGAGATACTATCCCTAGTTACATGATATGTTATATCTATACAAAGAATATAAAGATTATAAAAGATCATGAAATGAAATCATATTTTGTATAAGAGATACTATCCCTAGTTACATGATATGTTATATCTATACAAAGAACACAAAGAATATAAAATGGTCATGAAATCATAATAAAATCAGGATTCAGGCGCACTTCGAAGCAAATGGTTGTTGAGACTAACAAAGCAAGCTTCATGCTAAGCTTGCTCTTTGGAAGCTAACAAGTGGCTACCAATAGCATCATTGTTTAAATACAGATAAGTTTTTTTGCCAGAAGATGTAGTAGTAGGTACGTTAGAAAAACTAGTGTAGTTGTCATTCAACTTCGATAAGCATATTTTCGCAATAAAATCAAAGAGCTCGTTTTCTTGCACAAAAGGTTGGGCTGCATAGTCTTCAACAGGCATCCACTGAATAGAAAAACAAACTATGTTGGAATATGGTCACCACCAGTCAAAAAACATCCTACAACTTTATAAAGATACCTTAGTTGCTTCAATTTCTGAGGCCTGACTTTGAATGTCAAAGGATTGAGGTTGCAACATGCAAACAAAGAACAAGTCTGATTTCTGAAAAAAAAGATTTATGGCTTTGCCTGATACCAAAGGGACAGGAAGAAAAACATAAAGGTCAGTAGCAGGCCAGATATTGAAGACAGAAAATTTGTGAACTATATGCATGCATTCTAATGATTCTTGTGTAAAAGATATAGTTGTGCCAACATTCAGACTGCATGCTAGTTGACGAGGTTGGTGTGTGTAAGTCACTCTTACCTGAAAGCTAAAACTTCAACAAACTCTGTCTCTACCTACATGAAGAACAAAAGTAATGGCATTAAGACTTCGAAATGAATAGTCCATTTTTTGTTTTAATATACAATGGTGTAATATAAATTTTGAAGAATGTTTAGTTAAATATATTAATAACAGACGGTGACAAGAAAAAAATGAAATAGAACAATTTAATCTGTACTATATTTTGTGTTTGCTTACCCCTGTCTCTTCCTTCACTTCTCTAATTACAGCATCACAAATATCCTCGCCCTGCAAATATGATAAAAATGAATCAAAAGAACATATTATAAGTTTCATAATTTGATGAATAATCATGTTGATATATACTTCATTAACAGCTCCAGTAGGCATCTTCCATACACCTGTGCCTCCAAATCTACCACTGGTTTCCTGAACCACAAGCACCTATCAAACAAAACGAGACTGTTTAAAGTATAATATAACAAAATGATTGATGAGAAAGAGAAATGAAAGAGGAAGAAGATTACCTCTCTTTTGTTATTGACGATAAAAGCACCAACGCCGAGACGGTGTGAAGCATTTGCAGGAATGCTATCAGGGGTATGAGGGATCCAATATACAAGCATCAAGTAATCTGACTCAGCATGATGGTACCTAAATCCAGCCTGCAATGCAATAAAAAATTGTTGGAATTCACACTCAATCTCATTATAAGCTATATGGTAGTAACAAAATTGTATATACCTTGACAGCAGAATGAACAAGATTAGAATGCTGTAAGGGTAACCCTCATTTTGCAAGAAAAACTTTGTTAAATAAAAATGAAACTTGAATTTATGTTTCATTTTACCATTATTCATCTGGCTGACATATAAAGTATAATTTAGAGTTAAGATAAACATGGCTAAAATATCTTCAAGGCGGTATCATACTTTTGGTATATAAAATGGATAGTCACATGAATAAAATATGTTTCTCCTCAAGAGATAGTAGCATACCCAATTATTTCAATCATCCTTTTCAAAAGATCAAATTCTGAAGCCCCGGGGAATAATGGTAATCCAAGAAATAATTCCGCCACTATGCACCCAAAGGACCACATATCAATAGCTGTTGTGTATCTAATGATGGGTTAAGGGCCAATGTAACTATGAAGCAAAAAAAAAACATGTAAATAACCTGAAAATTAGCTAATAACTTCTTCCGAAGAATATATAACAAGAACGCTATGTGTGACATCAATTTAGACAACAGCATGCTGCTACATAAATATAACATCTCTGTGTATGCTTCAATTATTTCTTTATAGCATACAGAGTACAAGAATAATGTATATTGTGTTGCAATGTGAATATAACAAACCTGGCACATAAAGTTTTAGTAAAACTGGGACATTAAAGAGTACTGAAGAAAGACTTCGTTTTGGCAAATCAACAAATTCATTCCCCACCCCTGTGAACAAAATGAAGGAAAACATGGTCCGGGGTGATGGACAGTAGCTCCAGTTGAACAAAAAATGTTCTTTAATGATGCTCCATAACTAAGTCATAGTAGTTAAATAGCAAGCAAGAAATAAATGTAGCAGCTTTAATTGTCATAAGATGAAGTTTTGGCAAAATTATTCATTTTTTGGCCTGATATCATCAACATAAACCCAAACTATTGTTTCGCATGCTATAGCACAAAGTTTATCATAAGAGTAACTGACAATACTATGCCAACTGCATGCAGTTTGTAATGTAAGAAGATGATGAGGCAAGAAAATATAAGGAATGAAAAATAGAAATAAAAAAGCCTGCAAAGAAAGGAATCAGGCTATAAGTTACTAATTTCATGGGTTAGGATACTGATATCCAGGAAGAACCTCAGGAGACCTATAGTATCGACTCTGCACAAGAAATGAAATAGCTGCAGCATACACGCAAAGTTAACAAAAATAGCTGCAGCATATAGTTCTTTATGAGCATCTTCATGTAAGAAACCAACCTCGCACATAAAAGGATGTTTTCTGGCTTCAGATCACAATGAATAATGCCAGCATCTTTTAATAGAGCCAGTCCACATAAAATCTTAAAACATAAGTTTAAGAAAATAGATTATGATGAGATAAGATATCAAAACCAGCAAAAAAGGACTAAAGAGCTTAGCCACACAGAACTGGCATACCTGCTTAGAGAACAGCTGAACAATACCAAGTGACAATCCCCTAAAATGATTCATTTTGATAAGCTCATACCTGTATACTATATGACGTCAATACCAAAATATGCAAGAGGGAGGGATAAAAATTCTAGGGCAGCATCATTGCATAATTCATCTAAGATTTTAGTTCAGTTGAAATTGAACATCATCCGAGTTCTGATACATTCCCATTGATGAAAGCCAGACAAGTATCAAACAGAAAAGAAGATAACAACTTACAGGTTTGTGTCCAGCAATTCAAAGCATATGCACAAATGCCGTTGATATACAAAATAATCAAATATACGAACAATGTGATGCTTATCCTCAGGATCGTACTTCTTATTTAACTACAGGAAAAAAAGTGACTCTTCCTGAGAATCTTCTCATTGTTACATCTTAATAATGATAATAATATTAATAATAACTGGTTACCGTTGTTAAAATAGTTACTTCAACCAGCGCCTGTTGATAATACGCAGGTTGATTTTTAATGATCTTCACAGCAACAAAACTGTTGGTATCGGAATCCCAGCATTTGGCCACTTGTCCAAATGTCCCGTGGCCAAGGAGATCTTTGACAGTATATCTACACCATAACAGAATGTAAGTTATATGAAGTAGAGATTTTGCCAGTGATTAATGTGACACCTTTGGTATCCCCATAAAATCAACAAGTGTTGGTATTCGTTAAGCATATATAATTATTACATGGAATGAAGAAACAAAACATGTATGACTAACCTTCTACTTTTCTCTACATGGATCAAGACCAAATTCACTGTCAGAATAAGATCTGAGTTTAGATTATCATAGCCATCATTAAGCACTCCAGTAGATGGACTGGTCAAAAATCTCTTTGGATTTAGATCTTCGGAATATTTAAACTGTGGATTGCATATTTGATATGTTTCAACTATTTCCTTGGTCAATCTTGCCACCAACTGCAAATTAGAAGTTGAGCACCAATTGAAATTTTTCAGTACTCTAAGCTCCAAACAGTCGCATTAATTAGAAATAAAAATTAGAGATAGCAGTGATCTCTCTCTGTATATCTATCTATATGTGTGCACGCACGTGCACATATTAGCATTTACCTACTTCCTAGAAAGACTATTCTAGTGAGTATATCTTCTAACTGATCTTCAGTTAGAACATGCTTTAGTTGCCAACAAAGTTCTCAAGTAAATCACATCATCAGCACACCAACACACAAAGAAAGCAAATCCTACAAATGACTCCGCCCACGTGTATGCATCTCAAACTCCACATCAACGCACAAATCAAGGCGAGCCAGAGCTTTAAAGAAAAGCCTGGGAACTAAAACAGAGCTCAAACAGGTAAAAAAGGACTGGGAAGAAAGTGCCAATTCAATATAGGAATGAATGGTTGAAAAAGAACAAGTGCAAATGTATTCCTTTGCAGAGTCTAAACATGTTTTGTTTTAAAATATGCATTTAAAAATCCACGACCACCTCACACAGGCTTTTAAGGGGCGTAGTCTTAGCCCACATTGTAAACAATGTAATTTATGTAAATGCTCTTTTATTAGGATAGTTAGTTATCACATATTGAAAGAGATTTTGTTTTAGACAGCTACTGAAGTAGTTGGGTCAATAATATATTGAAATGGTTCATACACGAAATCACCAATCAATAATACTGTAATACTGTTTTCATTAATAGTCATCTGATTTCATGTTGGTAGAAAGGCTTCCGGTCTGCAAGACTTATCTACCATAATGCCTTTATTACACCTGCACTCGATACTCCCACTGATGCATTCATTGAGTTCAGGATAATCTCTGAACACCAAACCAGCCATTGTCAACACCTGCCATTGCAAAAACTATGTCCAACAAACTCACAAGGTGATCACCCCCAATTCAATCAAATACTAGAGATATACCACCAGCCATCATCACATGTGCCATCCCGTATTCAAAAATGTCAGACTCATGTGCCTCCTTCTAGCCACAATTAATAACAACATCAATTCCCTAAGCTTGAATGGTTCTACTATAATATCTAAGGGGTCATGGGTTACTGACTCAGGTACTTTTACAACTAACAATATGAGATTCCATTCCCCGTGTCATTTTGTTGTATTACCCCACTTTAAATAAACATCACTTGACCAGCCGTACCTTACATGATGATTTGGATACCTCCCGGCAACATTAAACCTCAAATTGGCCATTAGCCTCTAATCCAATCCAACCAGATAAGACAACAAAATCAGATAAACCAGAACATCACAAAAGAGAAACTGAATAGTTAACTGACGTGAGGATGGATAATCAAGTCAAATGCTTCTTGAAGACATTAACTGAAAAAAACATTGACTAAGGGGATACAAGGAAGCGTTTGATGGATCTTATAAATATCAACCTAGGAATGATAGACATTCATAGATAGGAGTTTTTACTTTTTTACTTTTTGGCCATCCAACATTGACATTACTGGTTTGAAGAAATCTCTCCGACTAACTCCTCAAACCGGATTACCTACCGCCGAGAGAACTCTCAACTCACCCACACAAAAAAAAAAAAAACACTTCCGAGTCAAAATACTGTCAAAGCAAAAATTCCTTCACAACACACATGAACATTTCCTAAAACACAAACTAATTCCAAACCACAAACTAATACAATAACAACAATGACAAAATAAATAACCAAAATCACCAACAAAAAGAAACAAACTTACAGGCTTCCTAACAAGTGCACGATACTTTGAGGATTTCCCAGCAGCATTAACTCGTTTATCTTCTTTTTGTTGCTGCGGCACAAAAGGAGCAAAAGCAAGCTCCCTGGGACACCATCCTGATGAAGAGGAAGACGACGCCGTTTCAACAAACGTAGCTCTGGACTGAGTCTGCTCCGCTTCACTACTACAACTACTACTACCTCCATGTCTAACCTCATCCATCACCCAAACAGCAAAAGAAACAGACCCAACCAGACCCTAATTTTCAATTCCAACTCACAAATTCCCTGTTCAAATTCCAATTCCAATTCCACTTTCATTACTAACTCATAACATAAATTAAACAAAAAAGGACTTATAGTGAAGAAACTAACCCAAATTTTTGCAAAAACTACGCTACGATTCTGAGGTATTCACCGACGGATTTTAATCCCATCGCGAAATTGAACCTTCAGAATCATAGTGTTTTTTGTTTTTGGCGGTGAGTGTTTTTTTATCAATTAATTAATTAATTCATTATTATATATAACATAGCGCTTTTTAATAAATGCTATTATATAGGTAGTCAAATAATAGCGTTTTATACAAAATGCTATCTTAAAGAAGTTTAATAATAGCGTTCTCGTACAAAGTGCTATCATAATTACATAGTCTGTATTATATAATAGCGCCCGATTAAAAAGTGCTATTATAAATGTGTTTTTTCCATTTTAATAGCATTTTTTTAAAAGTGCTATTAAATTAGGTGATACAAAAAATCATTTTTGGCATAGTGAAAGGAACAACAATCACATGTGGTAGATTTTCTAAAACTCAATACTCTGGTAATTTTTTGAATAAAGAATTACAACTCATTCAAACTAGCATATTTCCACAAAAGAAGTATAATCAGAAAAAAATTAATTTTGAATAAAGAATTTTAAAAAGAACATTTGATCATGCAATTGGTTTTGATTTGTCATAAACTATTATCATTTGAATTCTTATACATCTGATCATTCATTCATTGAATAATTTGAGATTTGTTTTAATCTTATTTTATACCATGGACAAACTCGAGAATAATAAAAAAATTTCACATTATCCCAAAAAAATCAATACTATCCATAATCATGGGTTACACAATAAGAAGAACTTAAACAACGTAAATGTCATAGGTTTGGCGAGTTTTAGTCTTATCTTTTTGACTTTCACCTTCCTGAAAAAGATGGCTAGTCCTCAGGCTATCATCATGTGAATCTGGAGATCGATATCAAGAAACTATATTTGTGACCTAGTATTTTTGCTCAGTGGCTCTAGTTGTTCGCTAGGCAAGCTATATAAAATCATAAACTTAAATATTTTGGATTTTTCACTTACCAAGTGAAAACTTTGAAAAATTCGAAAACCTTCTTTTACCTGTTTCAGTTTGGAAAATAAAATTTGCATAAAAGAAAACTTAAAGCTAGAAAGATTGAGTTGTCTCTCAATAAATGCTTATTTAACATCATTAGCTTGAATTCTGTCTTAAGGTTCCTTAATATATCTTATTTTATTTTTCCTATTCTCTCTCATAAGTTTGAGTTAGGTAAGAAGTTACTACGAAGCTTTAGAGAAATGTGTGCTTATCTGCATTCTTTTGAGAATGTCTAAAAACCTTGACTAAATTTCATATCTTTTTCATCCAAGGCGATGTAGGCTTCTTGACTTCTTTCAGAGGTTTCTCGAATTCTCTCTATTTCTGGTTTCTTCTTTGTTTCTAAGGGAAGTTTTGCCTTATGTGCACTTTATTTCCGTATTGAAAGCACGTAGGAATGAATGAATATCTTCCTTCATATTTATGTTTATCTTATTGTTGCTTTTGAAATTATGAAGTTTGTTCATGTTTTCATCACTTATACATTTGCATTCTTCATCTTACGACTCCACATATTAGACATGTGTAACTTTTAGAGAATGATTTTTCTTCTTAGTCTTGTCACCTTCCTCATCATTTGCTTTTCAACTTCATCTCATATTCATGTAATTTAACAAAAAGAGTAGTCAAGTCCATGAATGACAAATCACTATATTCAAAAATTGCAATGACACTGGATTGTCAAGTACTCTATAAACATATAAATACTCTTACAACTAATTCCTAGTTTTGATTTTTTTCCAAGAGTTCTCATGTTATTTACAATGTGGATAAAACATTTCTGCATATTGTAAATGTTTTCTTTAGGTTTCATCATGAAGAGTCCATATTTATGAGTTAATGTGTTTATCCTTCCCTTTTATCTTAGTTGTACCTTCATGGGTAACTTGAACAGTGTCCATATTTCTTTGGCAATCTTGCAATGAAAAACATGCAAAAACTCATCAATCCCAAGAGTGGTAGTGATAATAGTTTTTGCATTAAAACTATGCTGCACTTTTCGCACATCCTGACCATCGGGAGTAAGCACCAATCCCATGAATCAAATAGATCTTGAACTTTGTGCTTAAAAGGTATGCAATTCTCAATGGTGTGCCCCTGTGTGCCAGAATGGAAGTCGTAGCGGGTATTAGCATCAATGTTGGGTGGCAATATTTTAGGATCAACTTTCAAATAAGAAACTCAACCAATTTCAGTTGGATTAGATGTGGTAGTAACTCAACATAGGACACAGGAAGTGCATCAAATTTTTGGGGAGGCTGCCCCAGCCTCTGCTGACGATCCTTTCCCTTTAGATTTTATTGGGGAACAACGAATGGTTGTGGGCGGGAAGACCCCGAAAGACCAGGCGGTGTAGCAGATACATGAATTACTCCATGACTTAAAGGTGCCCCCGAAGTATGGTATGGAATGACAACTCTTGTTTCTACAGTAGGTATATGATCATATTCCTTTCTCAACACTGCCTTCAAAATTTCAATGACCAAACTCAATTGAGTCTTCAACTGACGATTCTCTTCTTTCAAGAGTTCGTGGCCACAGACCAAAGCCTGCATGTCCACCATAAACAGCCCCATCTAATCTCTTATTTCATCCAATTCCCCACAAAGTTGTTCCATGGCTTTTTCGGATCACAGAGCAGTGACAAGTCAAGATTCAGAATTCTGAAAAGAATACCAGGCCTAAATAAGAATTTCCTCAATTGTGAGTACCTGTTATGAGTGCATGAAGATACATGAGGTGAATGAGTAGATGCAATTCCATGTTCAATCATTTTCAAGAAACCCGCATGCTTTTAATTTTGATTTTTATCCAGCAAGAGATGGAAAAGCACAACATAAGGCTAACAAGCATGATTCTTTGGAAATGGAAAGAACACGTGTGTTAACTTTTCTCCACGTATACACTTTTTTTAATGATATGAGTGACTCCTGGATGGACCAATATTTGGTCAATATTTCCCTAGTGAAGTTTCCAGCTAAAACAACCGGTGGAATAAATCATCGAGTGAAAATCAACGAAGTCGCCATCGAATGCTTTTTTATCCCACCGGAAGGGAAAGGTAAACATCAAGTAAACATGAGAAGGGTGAAATCAAGGTCTTGCGACCAAGAGATATGGGTAAGGTAGTCGATTACGCAAGGGGAAGGTATTAGCACCATTCACGTATGTGGTACTCCATATGATCCACTCTTATTTTTCTAATAAAAGGATGTGTTCAAATCTAAAGTTTAAGAGCTAAGAGAAAAATGCAAAGAGGGAATTCATGCAAAAGAGAACACGATAAAAAGAATGAATATTTAAAAAGTTTCACTCGCCTGGGCCCCGATGACCAAATGCCTATGTTTCCCTTTTAAGGAATCAGAGCGCCATAGTTCAGCTAAAAAGTTTCCATTTGTTTTGTGTTTTTTATGAACAATATTAATTTTGCTTACTACCGCAGCTCGACCTTTGGAGACTCAAGCGTTGGCACATAAATGAATTAACATGTTCTACCTGAAAAGGTATTTTCAAAAGAAAAGGTACCTGAAGGTAGATAATGATATATTCATGCTCTAGTAAGTAGACATGGTGTTACCCGACCCTTGTGGATTTACGTGTCATATTACGTAGAGGAGAATTAAAACATCCTTTTGAAATTTTGGACGAAAGGGCTGAAGGCGGAAAAAGTTTGAATTGGTTTATTCTTTTTACCTTGAAAAAGGATTTAAGAGATATTAGAATGTTTTATGCATTTTCCAAAGAAAAAGGTTTTAGTCTTAATCATGCAAAAGAAAAAGAAAACATCTAAGGGGAACTATCTAGCTCTGTCCCTAATAATATCATACAATGATGGATCCTATGGTTGAGGTTTGAAAGGTAAATCTCTACCTATGTTAGCATGCATGGATCACAATCCTAATGTCTAACTTTCATCGGAAATGAGCGAATCCTAAGGGAGAATACAAAGGTGTAAATAAAGGCATAAGCATAAGTGCAATCAAACAAAGTCGAGCCGAAGCCAAAACAAAATCCAGTGCGAGCTAATAGCGAATAATATAGTCCAATGGATCTCAAAGTGGGAGTAACGAACTATTTACACTTGATTTGCTCGAGCACCGATATCGAGTAATAAATCAGAGTGTCAACATTTGATAAAGCGTGAGCTAACATCTTCGAAACGAATGACAAAGTATGGGGGATGATTACAATCCATGTATTCCACTTTATTTGACTCAATGGACAAGAATAGGAACGATTTAAAACATCAATGCATAATGCGAGCTAAGAACGACACAAACTAAAATGTGTGGGGGTCGATTGCGGGCCTTCTGCTCCACTTATTGACTCGATAGCAAGCACAATGTAAAAGGGGGAGGGGAAATGCCTTTTTAAAGGACTTTTGCACATAAGCAAACACAAACATGGCCTCATTTTGAGGACTTTGCAAAACAAACATCACCTACTTTGAGGACTTTAAACAGATTTTCCCACCTAAGGTAGGGACTCCTAGTCATGCATCTCTAGTCCTACTTCTCATGGCAAGGAAAGTGGTAAATGATAAAAAAACCAGAATCATTGTAATACCAAATGAACAAGAGTTCGTAGTAAGCAAAAGCAGAATAAATCCGGAAAACTTCAAGCAAGCTAGCATCAACAAACAAACAAGTAAGAAATCGTACGCTCGACATAAGCATCAAAGTATTGACAAGATGGAAATAAATCACATGTGATGTGCATCGGGCATATTCACATAATAAATAATACACCTGCACACAAATTCACATCTAGACAAAAAACACAAGCAGTGTATATATCTCATAGCATGAGATACAAAACCAATCGC